TATTGCGAATTGTAACGTCTGATAGATTTTGTTTTTTCGCAAATTTTGAACGAAATTTGCTACTTTATATATAAATACGTAGGGTAAGCTTAAAATTTTGTACTCAGTAAGATATGGTTTGCAGCTATTAGTAATTTTATGACCGAACATAGCCCTGATGCACGTTTTTTGGGACTTAAATATAATTTCCTTATTAGTAGAATTTCCCAAGAATATGATGCCAAACCGCAAGATGAAATCAACAATACCGTGGTAAGCCATCGGTACTTACGACGGATGCGAGTATATAGAGCACATAAGCAAAAGAACCAATCCTCTTGTTTAGTTTTTCTGTGTGCGTTTTCCAGTTCAGACTTTTATCAATTGTTACACATAGAAATTTTGTTGTGTTTACTTGGTTGATTTCTGTCCCTTGTTAATTAACGTTAATGTTTGGTGTTGCTAAGCGTTGACTAAGTACATATTTTTTGTTTTTTTTTTTTTGAAGATTTATTTTTAAATAATTATTATTTAACCAGTTAATTATTAAAGACCCAGGAGAATAAGTTACGTTTAGTAAAGACTATTTAGAAAGTTATCTATTTAGATAACCTTCAAAGTTATTAATGTTACTATTTAGTAACATTAATAACTTCAACCCCTATTTTTCCACCCTTAAGATGGGACTGGGATGGATATATGGGACAACCACTAAAGATAAGTAGATATCGCGTAACATACATACAAAAAAAGACGCCTTCTTAGCGCAGTAGCTTAGCAATGAGTTCGGCACTAAGGGCAACGGGTTCGAATCCCGATGGAATCTGGATGTTCTCGTGAAATGTGTGTACCTCGAAAACTGCCTTCACGAAACAGGAGAAATTCCTATTGAGTAGAAATGGAAGTAACCAGGGTGGGGGTAACGTTAGTCGAAATTAGAATCTTCTCCTTTCTTTATTTTTTTTTCTTTTGATAATAAATAAGCCTGAATTAATATTTTAGCGGTGAAGGTAACTATATTAATTCCATTAAAATGGCAATCTCCCAGTTTGCTAGAAGTCAATATCCAGCAAAACACCATTATTGTGCGCCTTTTTTCCGGACCGATACGACTTAGATACCTTTAGGAAACGTGTTTACTCCTTTTAAAAAGGCCAGCAACGCGCCTGCAATTTTCGTGGTGTTGCAGTTTTTCATGGGCGATGGTTGACACTTACTATCAGGAAAATTTGATTTAATTTGGGCGAAACCGCGGGGTGGAACGGTAGAAAACTAGTAAAATATAAATATCTAGTAAATATATTCTTAGGCTGGGCAGGCATAGACAGAACAGGCTGGTGGGGGTGCATATTCATAGTTAGTCTAGGAATGTTGGAACTCTAAATCAGGCGCTAGGGATACCCCTCACGGCGTTGTCCATCAACATACGTTATACATCCGAAGTGGGCGGGTCAAGTCCACTCGGAGTAGCCACATCGGGCCAGCTATATCAGTTCCTCGAGTTCACCGTGACCAAGCAACGGCTGCCAAGCCCCTCCCCCAGCCATGACAAGGCAGGAACTCGTTTAGAGGGAGTAACCCCGCCAAGACATGACAAGTCTTGAAGAAAGATTTATAATAATCACACCTCTTTTTAATTCTCTGTTTCAGTTTGTACGTACTCCACTGGATTGTGAGGATCTTCTTCTGGCTCCTGATTCTCTCATTCTTGGCAGCGTGGTTCGAACCGGTGAAGACCTTGCTGTCATACGGCGAGCCTATCGTGAAACACCTACCATTCTTGGGACGCGCGGTTTTTAACGAAAAAGCTGACGACTGTCTGAGATTTTAACGTTTATATAACATTACTCTTAAATGAGTTTGTCTATATTAGTCACGGTATACGAAGATATATACTTTCAAATTATGGATTTATCGAACGGTATCTAATTTTTTAATATGGCATTTGATATTGTAGTTAGATCAAAATAATTTTTTCTGCCAGTGTCTGGTCTTTGGTTACAATGTGGCTAAAAACAAAACATAACTACTTAAATATAGAGTTATGGACAACACAATAACGAGCAAACGTCTAGTTATGGGAGGAGAGTAGCCTGAACAGGGATTAGAGTTAGGTGAAAGTAAAATTTAAAAATAATTATTAACAATGGTTTAATATTATACATTTGAATATGCTACTTCGAGATCATATTACATAAATATGGAATCAGGGGGAACGGTATATTACAGAGGAAATATAGAAACTATATTTCCTCTGCAAAATTGTTTTTACAAGCAGAAATTTTTTTCTCGAATAATTAAAAATAATTCTATTTTTATTAAATTTATTTACGCGAATTGTTCTTAAAATTGTTCATACTTTTATGTATATATTACTTCAAATTTATTTAACATTAATAACTAAATAATTATTTTACATATTTCAATAAATCAGCAAAATTAAGTCCCAGTGGAAGTGATTGCACAAATCATATTATAAGGTTTGAATTTAACAAGGGATAGCTTAAGATATTATACAAAAAAATTTAATTAGGTACTTTATTTTTTATGGGATGTACATAATGGGTAATATTATTTTATATATACCTATAAGAAATGCATAATTAAGTGGATAATTGAATGAAAGGGATTGAGGTATGTAGAACAAGCCATTTCAGACTTCTATCTATTGCCAAAGAAATCTGGACCATGACTTTTGTTTTGACTTCCTAACATCAGATCTTAGGATGTTTTGCTTTGATACACTTTTTATGTTTGTAGGCGCTGCAAATATATTAAGAAAAAGATAATATAATTATTACAATCAATATAGTTCGTAGGATAAGCTATTTAGTGCTTGGTTTTATATCTTGTATGTCATATTTGATATATTAATAAAATATTTTATTCCTTAATTTTTACAATTCCATATCAACTTAATTTTTATAATATTAGAGTGCTATCAAGCCGCCTATCTATCATATATTAAATGGCTACTGTATAATATGCACCTATACTGTGTACGGTGTCAAACACCAACTAATTTCGAACCTGAACCCAACGAGAAGATATATACATATAATTACTCTAAGGCCAAAACCATGCTCAAATTATTTTAAGATACAATCACGAACACATGAACCTATAATCATTTGAAATGGAAACCATATTGTTATAGGCGCCTATGTGTGCGACAAGCAGTAAACTTTTAAAGAATGAAACGATAAGCGTTCTTGAGTGCGTTTTTTTTTATAGGATAGGGTGACAAACGAGCACACAGTCCACCTGATGGTAAGTGGTTGCTGTGACCCATAGACATCGACATCGATGCTCAATATAGAATCAAAATGTAGATGCGTCGTCACCCGTGAGGTCTGATGGAATGCCTCTTTTCCAGTAAAAAGGTTCGCCGGTTCTCTACACTCACTGTACGAAACACAGCAGTGTTAAGCTGCTATTCTGTGAGAGCGTGGTTCTTCCCCGGTAGAGCCGACCCATTCGTGCTACAACTAAACTATTAATATAGCTGCAGCATGGCTCTACCACGTACAAAATTTATGCTGCGTGTCAAGATGAGCATGGTTTCGGCATCACTTAGTGTCTACTTGTTGGGCTGAGATTCGAACAAAGTATTTTACCGTCGGGCTACGCTCCTGAGGACTAAGATGGAATATCTCATAAACTATAATTTTACTCATCTAGTGGTATCGGAACACAACAATGGGTACCAATACCGCTGCAAAGCCGCAGAAATATCTAGATTTTTTTAACTATTCTAAGCCAGTGCTTGACTAATATCCCAACTGATTAAACTGACTAAAATAGAACTTACACTTCTTAGAACTGAACTGACAGTCCTTTTATCCAGATACCTAAATCGAAAAGCAGCCCTAATATTCGTAATATAATTAGTCATTGTGATCTTGGCACGAGTTGAATGAATGAACAAATGCTCATGACACAGCTGGCGAATTGAACAAAAACTGTTTTTCCTGATTATGCTGCATTTTACCAAAAGTAAAAATGCCACGACACAAATAGAGCAACCAGTGAGCTTGGCGGTGCTCGCGCTGGCGAACGACATGTAATGTAACATTCAAAGGGATTCGCCAAAATACCGACAGCTGCGTGGAGCGCACTTGAGTGCTCGGCGGTCGGCGCTCGTCATGGAGCTACTCGGCTCGCTGTACTGATATGCCGAATATTCGACTTGTAACGTGCTCACCTGGTAAGACATGCAGGAAGTCGATGGATGCAGGTGGCTCAGGACCGTGCTTTGTGGCTTTCTTTGGGGGAGGCCTATGTTCAGCAGTGGACTTGTGAAGGGCTGTAATGATGATGATGATGAACGTGCTCACATTAGTCGCCACCTTTACTGATAACGGGGCATTCCATCTTGCTACTAAGGAATTACCTTATATAATATTGTAGTCATAGATTTAGTATAAACTGACGTTAGAAATTGTAGACTTTGTTAGGGGTCGCAAAATGCATCTGCACTTCAATATAAAACATGTGTGTTATACATCTATGGACGACGGCCTCGATTTATCATCAGGTGGACTTTGTACTTGTTTGTCATACCCGTTGGTACTGCCACAGGACCCTTTTATATCTTATTTTTAAATTTAAAAAAAAATAGATACATCAAATTGGTACAGCAAGGTACTAAATTTGTACCAAGCACATGTCATTTAGTGTCAGTAGTCGTGACTTAATAAGACTGATTTAGTATCTCCAAGAACTCAGTTTTGGTATCTAGCAAATTTCTTAGTACCGAGTACAGGTGTAAGGTTGCTAGTCTCTCGATATTAAATATATTAAAATTTTTAAATGTGTTTCATTTTATTCTTTATAATGTGTATAACAAAAGATTAGCATGATTTGCCAGCATAAGTCTTTACATCTGAAATTGAGGTTGATTGGGATTGTGATGGGCTAGCCACCTACTATTTCTTCTTACACAATTTTGTATTTATTTCGACTTTGCCTACTCTTGGGAATTACAGGACTACAGGTGTAACATAAATGAACGTATAAATAACGTATAATTTAAATGTTTTATTACCATGTGACAAAACAATAGAGATAAATAAAAAACATACCCAAATACAGCAAATTCATTAAATTACAATCTCACTTATATAATATAACAAGCATAATTAAGATAGTTTTAAATGAACAATCTAATAACAAAATTCAGTACTGATGATGTTTCAATAATATAAACATACAGTTAAATAGACATTTTATTTTCACTTGGTAGCATTGATAATATCAACAAATTCTGGTTTCAAGCTAGCACCGCCGACAAGGAATCCATCAATATCTGAACAAGCTGCTAGCTCTTTAGCATTGGCTGCAGTAACAGACCCACCATATTGTATACGCACAGCATTTGCTACATCAGGCGATGCATTTGTAGACAACCAATTGCGTAGAGAAGAATGAACTTCTTGTGCCTGAAGAAAAATATAATAACATTACGAAATAATGTTATGAATAAAAAAGTTTTATTTAAAATTAGCATGACCTTAAAAAGACGTACAAATAGTTCCGATTAAGGATCCCATCTAATAAATGTTACAATCCGACAAATAATAAAGCTACAAAATTGTAAAGGTAACACTACTAAATATTTGTAAATTAAACTTTTAAAATTGTAAAAAAGCCTGTTATTTTCGATGACAATTACCACATGGTAAGTATACAAAGTTTCAAATTTGAATTGGAATGAATAAGTTTTTCGGGCTAATTTATAAATTATTTCTTGTCAAGTCTTTTATTTAACAAAAATATGTAAAATATAAAATATAAATCGTAATTACAATTTGTTGATTGTAACTTTCATTAGATAGGACTCTGGTTGTTACCTTTATATATATATATGTAAGTACACATAATATTGGTTATGTAATATATAAATTAAAATTACATATTATACAGAGTTATTTTTCAAAGAGTTTTATATTTAAGATCAATTATATAAATAATAATATACCGGTATCGCAGTTTTGAAAATACAAGTAAATAAGGCTTCTACTTATAATGAATATACAAAATGAATGTCATTTATGGGCAATACAGTGTTTCTGCCTACTGATGGACCCTTATGAATGTGCAATAAAATCAGTTAAATAAAAAGCATTACCACGCATTTTAAAATTAAAAGATATAAAGGACAAGATCTTTGAGATTTTTTTAATAATTTCTCTTCACGATTTGCCTGTATTACTTATTCTGAAACTTCTCTGCAAATTTGGCCGGTTATTGAAAAAAAATCCTGTATAGGTTGAAATAAAAAACTAAACAATAAAAAGCAATGTTTGCCAATAAAACAACACTTACCTGTTGAGGTGAGGCCGTTTTTCCAGTACCAATAGCCCAAACAGGCTCGTAGGCTAACACCACATTGGCCCACTTATCTCCAATTGCAGACAATAAAGCTTTAGTCTGCCGAAATACAACTTCCTCGGTCTTCCCTGCTTCCCTTTCCTCCAAAGTCTCACCAATACAAGCAATCACTTTTAATCCTGATTCCAGAGCATGAGCCACCTAAAAAATTTATGTGTGTAACTATGCCAAAACTGTACTTAAAATTAAAAACAAAATCGTTAAGAAAAAGCATACTTTCTCAGCAACCAATTCATCTTTTTCACCAAAAATACTTCTTCTTTCTGAATGTCCGAGAATAACCCAATTTATGCCGACATCTTTCAACATGGCGGGAGAAATTTCACCTGAGACACACAAATATACATCATTATCATATATAATCAGTTAGTCATCATCATAATAAACAACATACGTAATAGGAGTATATCATAATACAATCATATATTTATACAAAAAAATTGTATGGCAGAACACTAACTCATGTAACACCTATTAGGTTAACAATGCATAAGTTGTGTAATTTTTAAAGTGAGGGTCCCACCAATAAAGGTTGTTATTCTTGACAAGAAAAAAATTAGTACAATGTAGTGTAAGGGCATACTGTTTGCTTTATATTTCATGATGTGTGTTATTAATATAAAAATACTTATATATATGATAAACAAGACATTTGCCCTTTAAATGAACACTAATAATAACATTCAATAATAAACATGTACAATTAAGTAGACATTTAATGTTCACTTCATAACAATAACAAATTCTGGCTTCAAGCAAGCTATTCCCACCAAAAAATGTCCAATAATTTAGTGCAAATAATGTAGCACAAAGGCTAATTGCTTGCTTTACATTTAATGATGTGTGTTGATCAAAATGTACCATGTTCCCAATGGCCACTTAAATATCTGAATAAATGAAAATATGTTCTTAAAAGTCATGCAAAACTACCAGTATAAATTTTAAAGCTACATAATAAACACATTGTGGCTTCAAAGTATAAGAAGTTGAAGGAAAACAGATATAATCTATACTAATATAATAAAGAGGAAGAGTATTTGTCTTTGTTTAAACATGCTAACCTCTGGAACTACTACTTGAAAAATTATTTTTATATCATATGGCCAGATTCATGAGGAATAGTATAGGCTACACCTTTCAGCTAGCCTAAAATATTAAGGGAGTCGGCAACGCCATCTTAGACCATACCGGGGCCCTTAGGCACACAAGAATTTGGGGCCCTATTGGAAAGTAATAAAAAAGTGAAGGACAAAAACATTTTTCTGCTATGATCTTACATTTATTGTAGTTAATTGGTAAAAATCAAATATGTAATATGTTATTAATTAGATAAGTATGTTGTGGTTTGAGTTGGTTACTCTTACGACAGTGGTTTCTTTCGTGATTTCTGTTGTACAATATCTTCTATTATATCTTCAAATGTAATTACTCTAAGCCTATATTCATGTCTTTTTCTTCTTATAAATTTAAACGACAACATTTATTTAGCTGTAATTATATAAATACATAGATTGCCGAAAATAAAAAAAAATCTAGCCTATAAGTAAGGCGATTGTACAGCCCGACAAAAACGTTTAGATGGTGGTGAAATGCGGAACTACATATTTTCGACCTAGGAAATCTATCAATTTCACGTTTTCAATGTGTGGCTTGTCACTGCTCGGGGTTGTCTTCATCTATTAATTTTTCATCATTAATCTATTAATATTTTGTGAGGTTATATTTTCATAAAATAGAAAAAAGATTGTATAGTGTAAGCGAATATATCGGCATTTCGGGGCCCCCTGACGATGGGGCCCTGGGCACGGGCCCCGTGTGCCCTTACGGTAAAGACGGTACTGGGAGTCGGAAGAACAAGCACTCATAAGTTGCTTTATTAACATGTGCTGGCATAATGGTACGTAGTACTATCATTTATTCTGTAGTAATAGTTAGTGATACGTAAATACAATGTTCTACAAAAATATTTATCTTTACTTCATCTAAAAGATAAGTTCACAATATCATATGCCTATTTCTTATACATAAGCCAAAATAAGGTATTTTGGTGACAAAAATATTGAAAATTTAAGTTATATATGAGCACTATTATAGCACTAGCACTATTATTAGGCATGGCATATTAATCCTTACGAACGAAAGTTACTTCATCATCAAGACAAGTTTATAACGATAAACATTGCCCTTCATAGCAGATCTATGGACCCATATTTTAAGAGATAATGAAAAAATTAAATATTTCGGCTTAGCGCTCATACTACACATAACACTCGCCACCTGATGAGAACCGAGAGAAACCAACAGTGAACACGTCTGTAAGTGAGTTGTCATGACTCATGACTCATGGCGCATGGCTCTGACACATGATATAAGCAAATGTAACTGAGGGGCACAGTTAATATAATATATGGCTGTCATTTTGCTTCTTTCTTAAATTAGTTATATATACCTGTAAATGCACCCTTGGGTACTTTCCAGCAGTTTTGGGCTGCTACAGCAATTGAATCAGGAACAATGCTTTTAACATAAGCAAGGTAAATAGCAGGCACACCAATGATTACCTGCACATAGCAAAAATAAATGTTATAACAAATTAGGTTATACTTTAACAGTGTTATACATAGTAAGTTATTAAGAAATGTAAAGGTTTATAAAACACAGAGCATTATTAAGTAATGCTTCCGGTTGGACATAAACATCCCTAATTTCTAAAATTGAATATAACACTGTTGGATTGTGGTTCTTCAGTGTTTCTGCCATAATGACTATATTGTTGGCACTCAAGGCGAGTGGTGTACCTGCCATTGATGATAATGTAAATATGATTATTATACACTATGATATTATATGATACTTATTCAATATGATATTTGTAATACACACTACTAACGACATTGATTGTCTCATTGGTCTAGTGGTTGCAAACATGATTTCTGATCGTGTGGCAAATCCCGGGTCAGGTCCAAATCAGTTATTGGGTTTTTCTGTGAAAAATTGTTAGTAGCAGCCAGGACTCAAGAAGTTGGTGGTGTTTCACCCAAGGCCTTGGAAAGTATGTAAAGCCATTGGTCCTGCGCCTGATCTTTCTCCAGTCATGTCAGATAAATGACATCAGACTATGAGAGTGAGGGAATAGAGAGCACACTAGCACATACTTGCACATATTCTCGGATATGTGGTAGTTGTATGTTGCAGCTATATTACTGGTATAGTTGTAGCACAAATGGGTCAGCTCGACCGGGGAGGGACCACACTCTCACAGAATACCAGCTTAATACTGCTGTGTTTCGTATGGTGAGTGTAGAGAACCGGAGACCCTTTTTACTGGCAAAGAGGCATTCCATCTTAGTCCTCACGGGTGACAACGCATCTGCATTTTGATTCTTTATTGAGGATAGATGTAGATGTCTATGGGTCACAGCAACCACTTACCATCAGATGGACTGTGTGCTCGCTTCACCTATCCTATAAAATAAAAAATAAATACTAAAATCATGTCCTGCCCAGATGGCTAGTCTCGGTTCACGATGATCACTGTAACCATAATTCAATCTGGAGAACATTATTACTAACTACATAAACAAGTCAAAGAGAAATATTGTTTTGCACATTGCAAAATACCAAGGCTCTGACACAACAGACTTTTCATAGAACCTATATTATATGATGTAGTCTTTGTATCAATTTCTAAATCATTGATGGCATCTAACAAAAGCCATAAAACTTAAGACATTTCCCATTGTTACCTTACAACAACTATGAGATAAAATGACGTAATGTATTATCTCACTCTACCACCACACGGCAGATTTACTCTCCACGATCTACACTTAGAAAATTCTTAAAAATTGTATACTGTTAAGATAAAATGTTTAAAAATTGAACTCTTGACATCAAATATGATACATTTAATGTCACAGAGTTCAATTTGATATGATTTGATTCTTTGTTTCCAGATTCTAATGACAGAATTCATTTACATGCATTAATTATTTACATATTACATAAAACAAATACCTCCACATTCTCATCTAAAGGCCCTTTCTTCAAATTGTTCACAATTTCATTTATCTGATTTTTGTCACCATTCATCTTCCAATTACCGCCCACGACAAATTTGCGACCCATAATTGCAATGTAGTTCTATAAGCATAAAATACAATTTATAAAGAAAATATGAAACCAAGATTTGTAGCATTAAGTAATTCAAAATAAATTTTGTCCAAACATTTTATGTTGAAGGTGAGTTTAAAGAATTTGTACAAAAATTTATACTAAAATTCCGACTGACTGAAAAAGTAATACATAACGCAGGAGGCTAGTGTAGAAATACTAAAAATAAAACATTTTCATTTTATAATGTACCTTTCTGTTCCGCTCAAAACCGCCGGGAAATAATGCCAAAGTACAGGTATTAAATAAGTTTTAAATTATATGTTTTCTAACCCAAACTTTAAAGTAAATTATGACGTTAGTATATCCGCGCTTTCTTATTTGTTAAATGTCTTATAGATCAAAACGATGACCAATCATGTATAAGTCTATTGATTTTGGTATTCCACCGGGCAAAGAAAACAACCTTATTGCAAATGACCTTTGTGACATTGACACAGCACACAGAGTAAGTACATTTACGTTTTACGTGCTTTTACGATATAATCTATTGGTCTAAGCCAAAGAGTATAGTAACTGTCCTAGTCTAAGCTATAGATAAATAAATATGTAGCAAGCTAGTCTAAGCCAGCTTGCTACATATATATTTATCTATGGTCTAAGCGGTCTAAGCTATAGAATTAGAATATATTGGCGTAAGTCGTAGACAGAGAAACTGTCTACGCCCCCCCCCCCCCCCTCTTTCGCAGCCTATGAATTTGGAGTATATATAAAAAAATACTGACAGACGTATTTCAAATAGCACATCTCAAAAATATTAATTAATTAAATCGCACCCATGTAGTTTAGAAATAAAAAATAGTTAAATATCGCTCAACTTATAACGTCGATATTACGTCAAATAATTAGAATTGGGTACTTTTTGTAACATAAAAAAACTGCACCTTGCCAGGCCTCCGTCACTCGCTCAAGGCCCTGCGTTATATGCCTACCGTTCTGCGTATCGCCCACGATACAACCGACATAGGGCCGCCGCATGCCCGCCAGAGCGCTCGCACCGCGCACGTTTCCTGCGCTTACTCGTCGAAATGCCGAAACCACGTAATTATTGTGCAGTGGATGGTTGTCAGAGTCAAAAAACAAATGAAAAATTGACATATTTGTCTTAACTAAAGATTACATCGATGTCACAGCATAACAGTGCTGTAATTTATAAATTGAGTGACAACCTGCACACCCAAATTATATAATACTCGTAAGTTTTAAATAATTTTGACAACGCCATAATGAATCGGCCTGGCAGCAGCGTGTTACAAATTTTACAAACCATTGATTTTCTTCCGCATTGTTCCTGTTTTTCTCATGATTATTTATTAAAAAATTTTACGCGATTTAGGATATTTTCAACGATAACATTTAATAACCGAGAAATCAGAGAAGGAAAGAAATATATAAATCATTTTATAAAACTCAAACATATTTGATTGACAAATAAAAATATTGTTATTTCGCAAGATTCGTTTTATTACAATAATCATCATAGGCACAACCCTAGCGCATTCGTGCGATGACGCGCTTGCACTTGAGGCGCACGGCGGTCAACACAATCTCGGCTCTTTATGTGCGTACTTATGTTACATTTTCATCTCGCCGCGAACAGCAGATATTATTATAAAGATTTTGTAGGCTATTATAGCGTAGGTATTTTCGCTTTTGTATGGGAGTGATGTATCCGTTTAGTAAACTATTAAGTAATCTGTGACTTTGCTTAAATATAATTGCACCATTGTTAAAAATGCATAAAATGCAGTGATGAGCACAAAAAGTTAATAAAACCAAATTTGTAAACTGTCGAATGCACCCGCCCTACCTCAACCACGAATTTAGGGTATATATAAAAACTAAAAATACTGACAGATGCATTTTAAATAGCATATTCCAAAAATATTCATTATTTAAATTGCACCCGTGTAGTTGTAGTTTTTAATTAAAAAATTCGTAAATATTACTGAACTTATAACATATAAGATATAATTTAACATAATTAGAAATGGGTACTTTTTGTAATATGAAAAACTGCACCCTGCTTGATGTTATATAGAATGCAATATTAAGTGCTAAAATATAATAAAACCAAATTTTTTAATTGTCAACAAAGAGTATAATCATTAAGTTTAATAGGTGGGACTTCCTCAGTAAAAGCACACATCGCTTCGCTATGTATAGCCATTAGCCATCGATAGCGCAGAGATGTATGCGTGTACTATTTTACTCTTATTTCGTTTTATTAACTTTATAGACTTAATATTGCTAATACTAATAATTTTGACTAATTACATTATGTGCGTTTTCAGCAATAACGCATTACTGAACATTCAAGCAGGGTGCAGTTTTTTTTCATGTTCTATTCTAATTATTTCAAGTTAAATCGACATTATAAGTGAACGAACTTTGCCTATTTTTTATTTATAAACTATATAGATGCAGATTAAATAATAATTATTTTTGAGATGTGCTTTTTAAAATACGTCTGTCAGTATTTTTTTATTTTATATATATTCCAAATTCGTAGTCTGGGGTAGAGGTGTGGTGAAATCATCACTTAAAAAATTTAATTTTACTAACTTTTGTGCTTATCATTGCATTTTATGCATTTTTAACGATGTTGCAATTATATTCAAGCAAGGTGCAATTTTTTAATATTGCAAAAAGTACTCAGTTATAATTATTAGAAGTAATATCGACAATATAAGGTGAGCGATCTTTAACTATTTTTTTTTATTTCTAAACTACATGGGTGCATATTAAATAATGAATATTTTTGAATATGTACATATCAAAATTCGTAGGGGGGGGGGGGGTAGGGGGGGTATTACAGCTTGCTACATATCTATTTATCTATGATTTATATACAGTAATCTATGGATATCATATAGGTTTGCGCGCTAAAGGAGTTTTGGCGGTAACTTGCCGGCGGCGATATGCTGCCATAGACATAGTATCTTATAGACTTAACATTCAGTGACGTCATCACCGTGTGAAAGGAATGCACGTATATAGTAAGACATAAGAGTAAGGGAGAAGCAAATCTATATTTCTTGTCTTTTTCTAGGTATGCGTTTTTGATTGTTTTCCCCCCTTTATTTGATATTAACGATGTCAAGCTCTTTTGAATAATATTGATATTATAAGCAAACAGGTAATTGAATTTAGTGTTTTTTGTGGGTCATAGTTATTAGGTAAGGTGAAAACATGGTAAGTTGTAGCATTTTAGGATGCAATAGCATCAGTCAACGAAAAATTGATAAGATTACTGTTCACGCCCGAACGCTGGTTTCGGAATTTGACGCCAGAGGGCGCTCGGCTCGGCGCCATACCGGTTTTGACGTTTGGTCGTGCGGTGTGGCGAAGGCGCGCGAGCGCAGCAGTCGTTTGCCAGCTGTGCTTGGGACAGCACGCTGTCATTTTTTTGTGCGGGAACGCGGAATACTTTAGGCGCGCCTAGTAAATATACTGTCTAGCATTCGTATCGCGCATTCCTTGTTTGAGAGCTTTTCCCGGGACTTCTTGTGTTTAACTCAGAATCTGTATAAGGGTATTCGACAATATTAGCTACTACTGCGGCATTTGATATTCTAGAAATAATTGTTGCCACGCGAAACGGTAGTGAACTTTGATCCGGACATTCGTGTTCGTGCGGTGTATTACGTTTTTGCTTATAGTAACGGGATTTCGTATAGACCGACATTCTGTATTTGTGTCGGGTGTTACGCTTTGTAACAAATTAGAGTTAGTGGCTTCTGGAAGTTAGTTAATTGTGCGACAAAGTTAAGGACTGTCCTCGTGACGAACGAAGAAAGTGACTGTGGACGACTCCGCGGAAGATTACCACAATTTGGAGCGGTGCTGAAGTCCGAGCTGCTGCCGACGGCAACGGTCTCATAAGGTCTACCACACTCAGTCACACACAGATACACATCACTGACCCTTACTTCCCATGCACCATACAACCGCATGCGACCTGACCGAACCCTGAGGGACCAGTCGCCTTGGATATAGGTAGGTAAGCTCGGTTTTAATATTCTCCCTGTTGAATGGCAGTAAGATAGAACGCTCCCCCTTATTGTTTATTGTAATTAGAGATTTTCCACTTTGACTTTAGGAGGCCCGACCTGCATCTGCTTGTAGGATCTTCCTTCATGGGCCGGGAAGATCCTACTCTTGGATAGGCAGCTGCACGCCGTAACAATTACCTTTCATCGGTAAGTTTGTTTTGTGCTTACATTTGCTACTTGTACTGATTAATATCTATTGTTTTGAATATAAAGTGTAACATTTCATGTGTTAAATGAACTTTGTGATGTATTTTGTCAAATATTTGGACTCCCAAATTGTAAATTCTTCATGATAATGCTCCTTAATTTGAACGGTCATTCGAAAACTTAGTCTTAACAAACGTGTACTTTTTGATTTGGTAGGATTATAAAAACTTTAGGGATATCAGCGAGTACAATA